TCACCCTTTGCCTTTTTTGTTGGACGGGAAAAATGTTAATTGTTCTAGCTTGAGCATGAAGTGTTAATTTGCATATTTTTTCCCCTCAGATTGTTGAACCATTTACAGCTCATTATGTATTCGCACTGGGTGTTGCGCGGTTTTTAAGCTGTGCTCACTGGGTTCTACAGGTTTGACAGCAAACCTTGAATTTCTACTGATTATATTGGGAAACAAAGTATCTAGTTTGAATTTTTATGAGCATTAGCATTATACTAGCTCAAGAGCGTGGTTAAAAAAGGATTGAATATCATTTTATTTCTTAATGGTGTCTAAGTAAACTCTTCGACAATCCCAAACAAATCAGATTTCTAACTCTCATGTCTCACTGTATATGTCAAAAAGTCCAATTTCCTAGTGTGAACACCTCTAACCTTTTATTTTTCCTAATACACCCAGTTCATATGTAAAAAGGTCCATTTTAGTAAATTGAACACTTCTAACCTTTTACTTTTCTGAATTCTTCCTCTCTTTCACTTCTTTGAAATGATATGACACAATAGTCCCCCTTGAGGCTTAGTTTGATAAAGCAAATTACCTTTTCCTTCTTATATTACAGTCGTGCTAAAAGAAGTAACCTTATATTTTGGGACTGGATGAGTGCTACTATACAGTAATGTAAAATTATGTACCAAACTCTGTAACCCCGGCACCTTGCATTTGACAGGTTTTAGATACCCGTGGCCATCTCCTAGTGGCACTGGGCTATGGTCTATGGCCTTCTATGGTGTTAATATCTGAAATTGTGCAAACCTTCATCTTAGCAGACTTCTGTTACTACTATGTCAAAAGGTTTTATAAACACCTTCATCCAGCTTTATTTCCTCATATTACATCTTTTTTCCTCTGGAATTTATTTATTATATTTTGTTTTTTGCAGTGTTTTCGGTGGACAACTTGTGTTGCGCCTTCCTTCTGGGGTGGTGTGAGTGTTGCTGGTTCTGTTGTGTGTCCCTTTGTATTCTTTGCACTCTAAAGTCTAAATGGTAGAAGTGGGACGATCAGTGTAGTTTACAGTTCCACCAAGAACTTGATGGTCCTATATTAGTTTAATTGGAGGAATTCCTAACTTTTGGCCTCAAAATGAATTTCACTTATTGCATATTATTATTATTATTATTATTATTATTATTATTATTATTATTATTATTATTATTATTATTATTATTATTATTATTATTATTATTATTATTATTATTATTATTATTATTATTATTATTATTATTATTATTATTATTATTATTATTATTATTATTATTATTATTATTATTATTATTATTATTATTATTATTATTATTATTATTATTATTATTATTATTATTATTATTATTACTATTATTATTACTCCCTCCATATTTTAATGTTCACTGCATTTGGTTTGGCACATTATTTAAGAAGTAAAGTGGTAGGGGCAGTGAATAATGTAGAAAAAGTAGAAGAGAGTGTGTAAAAGTGTGAAAGAGAAGATAAAAAGTAGAAAAAGTAAAGGTAGTTGAATATTTTATAAAAGGTAAACTTACCAGAAGTGTATCAAATACATCTCAAAAAGAAAGTTTAGCAAACATTTAAAACTCATTTAAAACATTTAAAACTTTTAAATACATCTCAAAAAGAAAGTTTAGCAAACTTTAATTGATGCATATACAGTAATACCGAGTATACAGCATTGCGCTGATGCTGTGATCAGGGCATTTACCAAAAGGGTGTTTCTATGGAATATTATACGATAGTATATGTATTCTCAAAAAATCAACTTATACCTACGAACGGCACAAAACCAAGTGTGTACTGCCGAAAAGAGCTGCAACATTCCACCGCTAAAAATCCGACCAATTTGATGTCGTAGGGTAACAAGACACCTTTCGGACGTTTCGGTAGATTTGCGAAAGTGCAAGAAAGTGTGATGTAATAATATAATAACTAAATATTTCTTTAGTTTAGACTTAGTGCATGCATTAGTGGCGTCATCCCTAGTACTGGCAGGGTCCAGAATCCCGGCCTTGCTTTGACGCCTCGTCGGCAGGGTGTCGGGAGTTAGGTCGTCCGATCAACAAACCAACGATAATAGATCTTGGAGGACCGCATCTCGAGGTGCCTTCTTTTCTCATCTGTTCGTTAGTTGCAGCATACTTATGTTGCACGTCAAAGGATCTCAATATGTGCTAGCAGAGTTCCATTTTGGGTCAGCCCAGATCTACATCTGGAACTTATCGGGATCTGGATCGGCAAGTAAACCACCCGCCTGTTTGGCTGGTTTTAGATCAAAACCAGTTCGGATTTTTTTACGTGGACTGTAATTTGCTGGTCTGATCTATCTCAATCTGGGCTGATCTGGTAAACGTTTGGTCTCTGTGTTTTTATAACTACGGAAGTCAAGTCTGGTCTGATCTTACAAATTTTAGGCCTCTTTCATTTGAAGTGCTTTCGGGTCGAATTTTTTTTATGAAACTTTGTGAACATATTCTCCATGAAATGTAGGTTATGTCCACCAAATTTCAACTTAAAATTCAATCGGAAAGTCAGTTAAATAAATTATTGAAACCAATTGCATGTTATGTGTATAAAAAACTGCCCAATTTTAGAAAAATTATTTAATTGACTTCCCGATTAAATTTTAATTTGAAATTTGGTAGACATAATATACACTTCATGGAGAGCATTCTCACAAAATTTCATCAAAAAATTCATCCTGAAAGCCCCTCAACTAAAAGAGGGCTAAAATTTTAAATTTTAGGCCTACCTTAATATAAACCAAGCATTCCAGCCTAGCTGGTTGTGAGGTTACCATGCCTAGTGAGAGGTCTCGAGTTCGAAACTCGCTAGGCACATAAAGGGTTCGAAACTCAATGAAGTGAGTTTCAGCCTTGATTACTCCAGGCCCCCTGGTCCCCCTCCCCCAGGCCGCCCCTGGAGTAATATATGTGTGTGTGTGTGTGTAATTTTAGAAATGAGTTTAAATTGTACTTATATGAATATACCATTTAAAATAAATGTGTATGATATGATATTATAAATGAAAAGGTTCACATGAATAATACCATTATTACCATCTATTTACGTTCTTCTAATATTAATCTGAAATACATATTAATTCTAACAGTCCCAAAATTCATATGTGGTCTTCCGTCATTCATCCAGATTACCTAAAACGTTCTAAATTGATAAAAAAAAACCGAATCTGAATCGACTCTATTCATTCTCATCATCATCTTTACTCTTCATCTATGGAAAGACAGGGAAGAATTGTTCATCTTCCTCTTCACATTTCATCTTTAACCGCAATAGTAGTTGAATCCACACGGAAAGGAAGGTGTTGCTCGCACTTTCATCTCCCTCTTGAATCAATTCCCATCATTGGCTAAAAGGAAGGCGACGACGAAAAACATGGTGGGCAGTGTGCACCTTCGTTGATTCAAATCATCTCTCTCGCGGAAAGATAGAATGGAGGAACATCCTGCTTTTGATGTCAACGAATATGATGACGAAGGAGGTCCTCTACTTCCTTCTAATGTAACGGTCGAATGGAGGTCCACATTGGAATAATATTCCTCCAGGCTCCGATTGAGTTATCTTACAACTGCTCCCAGTTTCTTCTTCAGTCTATCCTTTTAGTTGTTATGACTGGAGTTGTAAAAGAAATTAAGAAGAATGGACAGAAGAGGGGATCCGGTGGAAGAGAAGAAGAAGAAAGGAAGAACTGAAGAAGAAATAGTATGAGCAGAAAGAGAAGAGAAATAGATATAAACAAAGGAAAGGAAAATGGAAAAGTATAAAATTTGTGAAGTCCAATCAAATTAAAACATGGGTGGGGTTACATTATTCGGAAATTGTCCTAAATAGGACTAATGAGTTCCTAAAAAGCACAAATAGGATTACTATTTTTCAAATTTCCTAAATAGGACTAAACATTGATTTTCTACCCTAAATACCCCTAAGAGTATTACGGAGTAATTCATAATGAAATGCTTTAATTCATAATAAAATCATAAAAAAACGTAAAAAAATATTTAAAAATGTAAAAAAAATTATAAAAAGTTATAAACATTTAAAAAATAAAAAATTTAATTTTTTATTTTTCTTAATTTATTTAAAAAAATAATAAAAAATAGTAAAAACTCATAAAAAATCTAAAAAATTATGGATACCTTTCCCACCGTCTCCCAGCACCACCACCTCCGATTGGTGAAATTTCTTCCACTTTTGGTAAATTAATGCCATCTTTTTCTAAAAATGCCAAAAAGATGACATAATTACTCTTCAATGTGCCAACATTTTCATTGAATATGCCATCATTATGGCATTATTTAAAATGTTGGCATATTTTTCTCCGGTGATGGGAGCTGGTGGTGCTAGGGGTGGCAGGGGTGGTAATGTTTTTTTTTTTAATTTTACGATTTTTTTTTCAAATTTTTTTTTTATTTTTTTTTAAAAAATGCTTGTATTTTTATTAATTTTCTATTATTTTTTTACGATTTTTAGTATTTTTTTCAATTTTTTATTATTTTTTTATGATTTTATTATTAATTACTCCGTAAAACATTTCACAAGTTACAAGGGTATATTTGTCCAAACACGCATAAATAGTCCTATTAAGGAAATTTAAAAAATGTAGTCCTATTTGTGCAATTTTGCCACTTTTTAGTCTTATTTAAGGAATTGACTCTACATTATTTTAGAGATACTCGTCATATATTATGGGATTAATAATAGTCATATTTGGATTAATAATGGAACTGAGAAAGTTAAATTATTCATGTAAATTTTTCATATAATAAATGAGCAAAACAATGATTTCAAATGAGTACATTGTGAATATATAACTTAAAAAGAAATGTACATTGGTTTAACATTATAAAAAACACAATAAAGTTGATATAATTATGAAATATTTTTCTTATTAAGCTCTCTCATTACAAAAACTTAAACTTAAGTAAATAAACCTAATTATATTTGGTTGGTCTGTAAGGCATATATATTACGTGTATGATTTATTGAAATAAGTTTTATGTTACGCCAAATGAGTATAATGGTACAAGGAATGTGCATTGATATGATTATATGAAATTTTAAAATAAACACAACATAAGTATCAAATGACAATACATTAATTGTGAAATGAGCATGTAAAAATGAAAATTTTCAAAAATCATTTATATTCGGATGTATGGCGCTCTCCGTACACGCGGGTGTACGTGAATCTGTATGCCGGAGACAGCAAATTAAGTGAGCATCTGCAGAATCAAAGTTGAGAGAGAAACTTGCCATTGATGTAATCAACAACTCGAGTGGCTGCTTCAGCAAGTGCAGCAGTTACTGCAGTTAGATTTTCCAAATACTCTTCAGACGTCGGTTTATCACCATCCACTATATCAGTCACGGCTTTTAGAAAAATTGCAGGCACTTTCATAAGATCTGCAACATAAGCAATGGCAGCTCCCTGTAAACAAAGTCAATATGCCAACCTTAACCCTTCCAATGCTACCAATCATTCCTAAATCCAAAATCGTTGGCCTAAATATACATTTATATAGCTGCATTAGTTACCTCCATGTCTTTAAGGGACGCCCCATTCTTAATGATGGATGATTCATCAGCAGGTGCCATATCTAGAGAATCACCCGTAGACAACTTACCAACCTGAAATGTGTACACCACACGACTTAATGATGTTAAACAAATGTTGTCAAGCATGCCAAAAACGCTGCTGAAGCCTGAAGAATAGGCACCTTCATATTTAACTCCTTCACAAGATTGGGTGTCTGGAAAGCCTGACGCAAGCCAACTCCATATAAATCAAATACCTGCAGGTATGAGAATAGACATTACCCACTATTCCACTAACAAAGATATAATCTTAAATAAATACCTACCTCTCTATGTGGTCTGAGGATACTGCTCAACAGCGAAGAATAATCTTAGAACTATTCTTAGAAAAAATTCCTACCTCTCAGTGTGGTTGTAAGGAACCTCTCGTTGTATTCAAAGAGACGGGTACTGCTCAGCAGAACATGATTCTCAACACAACGGTAAGGTATTACCTCCCTGTTCTACAGAGGAGTAGGATGTTACCTTCATGTTCCAACATGAAAGAAAGATAAATCCTTATCATCACCCACAGCATGGTCAAAGCCTTTTCCTAAAGAGGTGGTCAATAAGATTCTCAAAACCAGAACCTAGAATAGATTAGGAATTTACCGGGATGGGTATTCTTCTGTCATGGAATGCAGCGTCTGAGACAATAAACACATCTCCTATGGAAGCACCTTTTGCCTGGAAAAGTATTATAATCAATAACAAATACACACAGGAAAAAATATCATATGGACAACATCTTTTGAACAACTAGAAGGCTGTTATCAGACGGACCGGGGTCAGAGTTTCAAAGACAAAGCCGATATAACTTCACCTTAAATCCGCCGGCTGTTCCAGCATTTATTATTAGGTCTGGCTGTAATGCTTGGATAGAAGCATATGTCACAAGAGATGCAGAAACGGTGCCTACACAGTCTACCCCTGACAAAAATGATTGTTCACAGAATTGGTATTAGAAAATGCATGACAAAACAGCTCAACAGCAACTGCATATAAGTAGAGATTAAGATAAGTGTGAGGACTCTGTATTCCTATAGATCTGGCATGATTTGTTTTTAACATCACATTTTATATTGTTCAGACTTCAGATTGGTCGGTTTGAAATAACATTATTTATGGTCCCTGTGCAAGTGACACCTCACACCAGAGAAAATAATCTACATTCTGGAACCAACCTTCAGTTAAAAGTCATGTTTACATGAACCTTTTCATTGACGAGCTCCCTATATCACCACTACCAACACTAAATAATATATCTGCCCCTTGTAATTTTGCCAACATTCCTTTTTGGTGTCCCCAAAAGTTTGTGGATCATATTCCCATTAAATAATTAATTAATTTGTGGTTCTTATTTTTTTTCTCTTCACTGCACAAACAACCACACAGTTTTACTTCATTATTTCACATGTCGCTATGTCGGTCAAACTCGGCAAAGTTATAAGACACCGATGAAGTAAGAAAGATTGATTTTCAAACTTTTGTTATACAACTGTTCCATATCCTATTGTCACAGATGGCATGTTAGCTCATTTTTGCTCAATAATATGATTGAAATGTCAGGAAATGAAAAGAAAGTTAATACATAGGCAATGTCAATGTGTGATTTTCTGAAATGTCAGTAAATGAAATGTCACAGGCATGCTTTATGGCTTTGAGACTGAATACAACTTTTTGAATAAGGATTAGTTATCTTCCAAATGCAGTGTAGGTTCCATAGTTATATGGCAGATAAACTTATGCAACAAAATTACATATTGAGAAAAAGACTACCCACCCAGAATGGGGTCTTTTCCAGGGCAGACTACACTAATGTTCAGATCTTTATAGTTTCCATAGTAACGCATCCAAGGTACCCCCTTTGGGAACCTGCAATATTTACAGGAATGGAAGAGGGAAAAGGGAACATTCTTTAGGCTAGCAGACATTTTTCCCCGATTCAGTGGAATACTGGACAAGATAAAGATATGCGTGGTAACGTGGACAATAAAACATGCGGCATCATTAATTCAACTTTCCTAATTTAACACGCACAGTTAGATTAGTGGAGTACTTCACAAATCTAACACACGGTTGTTAGCTAGCAGAATACTGCGAGGAAAGAAAATGTACATGGAATCGACATCCTCGGCGAGTTGGAACCTGTCCACGAGAGGTTGTGCCTCCTTATTCATAGCTGCACCATTCGATCCACAATAAGTCTCCAATCAAACGCTAATAAGTAATAACAGTCTCATTGTACAACTGCATACGCACAGGCGAAATTCGTGGAGATGAGGTATTACCAATGACGAAGACGATGGTCAAGATACGGTTGTTATCGCCCGGCGACGCGGCGGCGAGATCAGCCTTAGTTTCTCGAAACTCGTGCTCAGAAGGCGCCATTTATGAGGCCGATTATCAGACGGTTTCCATTACTATAGACCAAAACAACTAAGACAAAATCCGAAGAGATGTTACAGACCCGATTGTAAGTCCTAGAATTTTTGTTCAAAATAATATCTCATATTTTTGTAACATACGTAGTATATCATAGTGCACATATAGGTATTCACAAGTTTTTAAATGTCAACTTATTTTTCAACAAATTTTTGACCGTCTTTTTCATTCTTGTTACCGAATAAAACACGTAGGTATTAAACCTCTTTTAATTCTCGTACTGTATTTAACTAACTATGCCGCACAGGGCGCACCTTGCCTCGCCAGCCATGTCGTGCCTTGCCTCGCCTACCTCACCGCATAGGCTTTGCCTTGAATGGAGGGATTATCAAGTCTGAAACGGTGACTAGATCTAGGGAGGGCGGCGGCCGGTGGTGGGGGCTTGGATGGACCGACAGAGGTGGGACTGGGAAGGGATGGACCATGGCTGGGCCTGACCAAAGCTGGAGTTAGGGAGTGGGATGGGGGTGGGACAGGGGCAGGGCAGCTCTGTTGGAGGTGAGGCTAGCGAGGGATGGGGGACTGGACTGTTCAGAGCTATAATTGGGGTGTGGGAGAGGGGGGGAGGGCGGGGGATGGGTCAGGGGCTGGTGGCGAGGACACTAGTGGAAAATAGACATTTAATGTCGGTTAAAATCGACATTTAATGTCGGTTGTGAACTGATATAGAAGCGGGCCACATAGAAAGTCTAGTAGATTTCCTATCGGTTAGCTGAACCGGCATAGAAAGTCCGGTACATTTCCTATCGGGTTGTTACACCCCACATCGAAAATATCTTATACGGAGTATCAGTTATCAAACAACCGTTATAGAAAATATTTTTTTTTTGAAAAAAATAATAATTAAAAGCATTCTACTCCGTATATGTTTACTTTCCGTAAACGAGCAAACAAATACACCTAGTTTGATATCGAAGGTTCATAAGGATCAACTTTGACTTGTTTTCTCATTGAGAGCTACAAAAATTCCAAATATTGTACTATTAAACAAAAACTCTTCATCAACTTGAAGTTTCTCATAACTAAAGCACAAAAGGGCACCCTTCAGCCTCCTTCCCCTTTTACCACTTTTATGAAGAGTGTGATCAGTTGGAAGCTTGGAATCAAAGTAACGCCCTCTGTATGTGGCCGATTCTCATCCAGATCGAATAAGGGCTCTAAGAGCAAATTGGGCATCTTGATCTGGAGTGTTCTGTCCTGATACTTCTGGTAGCCCTAAGCTTAATAGCGGTTATTCCAATTCCGAGACACAACCTGGGTTGCCAGCATAGCTGTGTGGGGAGAAGATTCATCTCTGTCAGCCTTTACTTTCATGCCACCAGTAATGCAGACCAACGTTTCTCTCCTAGATAAATCAGCTATATGTATAAATGTATCAACTGTGGCGGCCGAGCAGTGGCGGGGTTGCGGGCAGCAGATTTGTTTGATAATTGTATACAGGGGTGGAGCCAAGGGGGGTCAGTGGGGTCAGTCGACCCTGCTGAAAGTTCAAGAATGTAGAGCTCTAAAATACCTTTGATTTGATATATTATGGGTCCCGTAACTCATTACGAGTAAAAAATTATGACTGCTGGAAAAATCAGCGTCATTTTAACTCGAAATAAGCAAAATTTTATGTGTGACGTTGATTATATTCTTAAATTTAAAAATAAAACAGCTTATTCAGTCATTAGTTGTGTGAACATTATGATACACTACATATATATCATTACATTAACCGATAAATGCTCATTAAATTACCATTTATCGCAGTTACATATGAATTAAGTTAAGTATTGTATAATAACTATCCATCACTTTGATACTGTATATGATTAAATTTCGACCCCCACACACATTTTTATGGCTCCGCCCCTGATTGTATAGTAACTGCAGTTGACTAAAGTCATTATAGCAGTGTCACACTGTCACTATGGCGGTGTCATTGTGGGGGTGTCACTGCGTCCGGCGGTTGTGAGTGACGGCTGTGGTGGCAGTGACATGGGCGATGACGGCAGCAGTGACCTAGATGATGACGTCAATGTCATCCGATAGTGACATGAATATTTGGTAGACACTTTGTATTTTTCTAAATGTATAACCATCTTAGTCACAAATTTGTCCAAATGTAAATGTGGTCACAAAAGTGGAAATCCACTTTACTTTAGTAATATTCAACGAACAAACCCAATGGAATACATAGACATATAAAATAAATAAAACAATAAGAAGATGAGAAAATGAAAGAAAGTATCGAGATGATAAAAAAGACGAGAAAATTTATAGTGGGAGAAAAAAAACTTCTAACGAGAAAAATCGGGACCTCATCGAGCGGCACTATGACATTGATCTGCGCCTGCTTCATCAACTCCAACGACCTCGGCGAACACCACCCTAACACTGATCAACACCTCCTTCATCAACTTCCAGGACCTCAGGGAGCAACACCTGACACCACCGAATCAATCCTCAATTCCCTTTCAATCCAACAGCTCAAGCGCAACGAGAAAGAAAAGACTATGAGGGTGTTTTAAACAGAAGCAGAATTCAGTTTTCAGAAGCTGGTCTCTCCCAACTTCTAAAAAACTGTTTCCAGGAATAAATTAGAGCATCAAAAGTATTTCTATACTTTCACTCAAACACTCTAAGTAACTTCCGTTTCTTTCACTCAAACACTCAAACTAACTACAGTTTTAAGATTAGGTTCCGAACACCCCTATATTACCTTTATCTGCCAGATATACAGTACTTCGTATAATTTGCGGTGCTCACAAGTCACAATACGAACTCCTAACGTCCTATAACAAATCTAACATTTTTGTGGGGGGGTGTTAATGGTACAGATCTTGATGAGATTATGGCCCTTGTGGACTTTGGGCGTGGGACGTTCCCGGTAAGGTACCTTGGAATACCACTTGCTCCATTAAAGGTTTCGGTGGCCCAATATGCGCCTTTGATTACTACTATTTCGGACTTCTTGAAAGCTTGGAATACGAAGACTTTATCCTATGCCAGAAAATTGGAGTTGATTAGATCGGTGATCCAAGGGGTCCAATCTTTTTGGCTACAAGTCTTTCCGGTCCCCCAAACTATCTTGGATAGGATAGTCTCTATATGTAGAGTTTTCTTATGGGGTGAGAAGTTCTCCAAAGTAGCTTGGGATGACATTTGTCTTCCAAAAGAGGAGGGGGGTCTTGGCATCCATAATACCAAGGTTTGGAACCATGCTATCCTCTCTCGAACACTTTGGGACGTCCATAGGAAAAATGATACACTTTGGGTGAGGTGGGTCAATGGGGTCTATCTTCAAGGTAGGAGTGTGTGAGATTTTATCCCACACAATCGTGACTCAATATTCATGAAGAAATTGAGTCACATCCGCGACCAAATAAAGGGATGTTTTAACAATTTAAATGATACCATAATGGGTCTAAGTGCTAGATCCGTGAATGGGAAACTAGTCTCAGGAAAGATTTATGAATTATTGAGAACTAAAGGGACGGTTCGAGCTTGGATGAGTTTTGCTTGGAAGTCTTATATTCCTCCCAAATTCTCATTTAACGTTTGGCTTGCCTTGCGTAACCGGTTACCTACACAGGATAAACTCGGTTATTTGCATATGGTTAACCGGTGTGACCTTTGCAAGAGTGGTTTGGAAACAATGCCACACCTATTTTTTCTTTGTCCTTACACGTGTAGGGTATGGGAAAAAATAAAGAATTGGTTGGGCTTAACAAGGGAGATGACCACTCTAAGAAGCTCGGTCAAATGGATTTTGAAGGACCATAAAGGCTCGAAGATCAAAGGGAAAGCTGTCCGGATTGCCTTCTGCGCCGCGGTTTACTACCTATGGCACGCTAGGAATGCCAACAGATTTGATGAGGGGGACGTCAAGGAAGATGAGGTCATCACAAAAATTAAGCATGTGGTATATAAAATACTTTTCAATATATACCCACATGACTTGATTACCTTTTGAGTTGAAGGCCGTAGCATGGATATTATGGATGCCACGGTTTGGACAGACTGTTACATGAGTGTTTTTGGATGCCGAGGCATGGATATATTGGATGCCGAGGCCTGGACGGCTTTGGTCACTGTGGCATGGGCATCGTGGATACCGCGACATTAAGCAGGGTCTTGGATTTTAGGGTGTTTGCATCTTGCAACACCTTTGTATTCTGTTTTTGATTTTATGATTTGTGTGTGTGCTTTGGCAGCACCGATGTATTTTTGAACCTCTACTTGGTGATTTTTTGGCATAGAGTAGATCAAACAAAAAAAACTCCTTTCACCCTCACATTATGTGTGTGTGGGGAGGGGGGTTAGGAGATCTAGTTTCTGTGATGTATAGTTTTCTTGGTGTTAATATATATTTACATTTCGTACAAAAAAAACTAACTCCTAACGTCCTTGTCCACGATGGCATATCCAGTTATCCACTTTCATTGGCTCTCATGAACAAAAAAACGCCCACTCTTCGGACATCCATCCATCCTCACTCCCAGCAACTTCCAAACCTTCATGGAGACTGCCTTCCCTTCCAAAGCTAGAACACTCTCTCAGGTCTCTTTCTCTGCTGTTGGCCCTCCTACCTTTTATTCCCATCGCGTCCGCTTTCTCGGCAGGGGATATCATTTCGGCTCCAGCTTCAGCTTGAGGCCACCGGGACTTTGTTCTCGTCGCAGATGCCGGAAGCTAATTGGAATCAAGTTCCGCACTCATTCTTCCAGATCACTTCCTGTAGCGCATCTAAGCTCAGCTACGGTTGTCGTCTTAGCCTCATCCATCGTAATCTCAGCTCTTACGATTGTGTTTGTACTAGTGTCCAGAAAGAGCACCAAGGCCAACCAAGTATGTCAATTTTTGCAGAATAATTAATTAGTTTTTCTCTGCATGGACAATTTTTATGACACAAGATTCTAAGAAAATGCGCCTGTAACTAGATTTCTAAACGCAAATAAATAAATAACTCAAAATTGACTAAAAATTAAACATGCTCTCTGGTTGCCAAAAAATTAAACATGCCCTCTAACATCCGAGAATTTGCATTTGGAGACAAAATTTTATTGGATGCAAAATAGTACAAATATATTATAGGCACATTGAGTACTGCAAGTTTGCAAAGATCAAACAACAATAAAATCATGAAAAAACAGTAACTCACTTTTGTGTGTTTGTTGTGCTTGTAGCCGCGTTAGGAACTTTGCTTTACACTACTTTACTTTTTTTTCCTATCAGTTTATCTACAATAAATTTTTTACTATGTTCAATTGCATGTTTCAGCAGACCAAAGCTCAAATTCTGCATCAGGTTTACATTTTTTAGGGCAGTCATTCATAGTAGTAAGACTACATTCTTTTAAATGGTATATAAGTGGTGCCCTAGGCCCATGCCTAGGCTCACAGGGCCTAAAGCCGGCTCTTGCAGCTAGTCAACATGAAGAAACTGCCGCCCATGAACTCATGAGGTGTCCATTTTAGGAGGAATTGTGGACATTAAATTTTATTGCCATCTTTTTCTGTGTTTTTGGCATGTAACTTTTTAGATTTCCCCTCATTTCATAGGCACTGAATGAGCTAGCAGTGGCATTCAATCATCAAATAAGAAATAAAGTGAGGGTAGTTGTGGATAGATTTTTTCATCCTACAGCCAAATGGAAAGATAAAGCTAATGGCAGTTCATCAAGGAGAATGGCAGAAGCCAGTCATGCTGAGCACAGGATTATGGAGGGGATGATGCAAACCAGTCAGGATGGTTTGATGAGAAGTACTGTTAACAAAGTTGAATGCCCACATCCCAATACAACAACTTCTAGAGTGGTGGATTCTCCGGTCTCATTAGCATCTGAAGATGCTAGCTCATCATCCAAAAAAGATGAATTTCTAACTACTTCTGAGGCAGAATCAGAAGCACACGAACTTTACACGGTGGAAAGTCTACAAGAAAGTAAGATTACTACCGATTTGCCCAAGGCTGTACTCAGTTCCGGCTCTGGTGTTTCATTGACTGCTGCAAATACTTTAACAGAAAAAGTTGATGATATCCTGCAACAAAGACATCAACCAATTGCTGGAAGCAAAATGATTACTCACAGCATTTTCTTCAGAGAACCTGAACGGAAAGAGCTCTACAGATTCTATGAGGCATCTGCTGAAAATCAGCAAGGTATAGTAACTTTGTCTTCTTGTTCATCCCCTCAGGAGAACTTACTTTTTATCTTTTTTTAAAGGTTTGTCACTTTGTTCAGTAGAAGGCTCCTAACCACATCTTCAGCCTGCACGTTATTCCATTCAAATTCTAGGGTGTCCTCATTTTATTATAGCTCATGCTTTTCTGTCATAACCTCCCTTCTGAGTTTTCTGCTACCATCATATTTCTCTTGCTCTTGCATATTTGATGATTATTCTTTATTATGATATGGTTACTCGAGTCACTGTCCTTCTCCCTAGAATTTATAATGTGAAAGCGTCCCATGGAAATTACACAGGAGATGAATTTGGAGAAAGGGTATTGGGAAAAAGCAAAAATATTTCGAATGCGAAGGGAATCAGCATTATACAATCAAAGTGCTCCAGAAAAGCCTCCAGGTCTCCTGGTCCAAAAGGGAAGAACACGTCTAACATACATCATATATCAGAGCAAGTCGATGCTTATCATCACTTCTTGAGGAGTGGAAGGTACATAACGGCTGGTGTGTTACTTTAAGAGACAACTCATGTTAGTGACCTTAAATTCTGAAAAGCATTTTAATAAAGCAAAAAAGTTTAGTGCTTATTGCAGACTTGGAGTAAGAAAATTTTCCACTTTTGGTCCATGGCTGTTTCATCATTCTACTATTAGTTTCAGACTTTTTTTCACTCTTGGTGCAAGACTATGGATTTCATTTACTTTTGATTCTTCCAATTACTTATCCTACTAAATTTTTTAGTATAATTTTGTGGTTTTGAAAAGTTAAGTGACCTGAAGGACCGAAAGTGGCAAGATATCTATAGTTGTGCACCCAAAGAGGAAAATAAGAGTCGTGAACCAAAAGTGGCAACGTCCTAATAGTTGTGAGATAAATGATGGAAATTTCCTGCACATATTGTTGGAATGTATATTAGTTACATTTTCGGTGCAGTTTTGGAAAAAGAGGATTGTAAATTCTGAAGAGGAGTGTTATGAAACCAATTGACTTTTGACATTCTCTCAAGTGTTGTATACATCCTAGAATCAATTAAATCTAATCAATAAATCTGCACAACCAACAGAAACATGCTGGATAGCTATAAACTTGTGTTGCAGTTTGGGAAGTAGCCTCAGTATATGTACATCAGTTTTACATGTTGAATCTTTTGGGCTTTTAAATTGCAATTCCATTTGTAGTGTTAAACAACAAAAAATAAATAAATACGAGTCTAGACTACTAATAAACTAATATAATGCTTAAACATGTGGCTTTGACATACTACTCTATTTATATTGTTCTAGATTGACAGACTGTTTACGGATTCTTGAAGACATGGATAATGATGGTTTATTAAATACAGACAAAGTAAGCATATGCCACAACTATTGGCAGTATTATATTTAACAATTGACTACTTATTAATAATTGAGCATTTCTCTCTCAGGTTTACCATGCAGGGTTTTTCCAAGCATGTAGAAATGAAAAAGCTGTTAGCGAAGCTTTTCGTTTCACAAAGCTTATCCACAACCCAACATTAAGCACATTTAACTTGCTTTTGTCAGTTTGCGCAAGCTGTCAGGATCTGGAAGGTAATTCTTATCTTTCTGCCTATCTGATAAAGCTGACCAGTAATAGTGCGTATTACTTTTCAGCATATTTATGGGCTGTACGTGACTTTCTAGGGGCTTTTCGAGTTCTTCAACTTGTCAAGGAGGCTGGATTGAATGCTGACTGCAAACTCTATACCACCCTTATATCTACTTGTGCTAAAATTGGAAAAATCAACACAATGTTTGAGGTAAATGTGCAATTTTGTTCTCTACAGATTCTCAATGGAATTCTTGTTAAGTGTCTTTACATATGAGGCCAAAAGGTTTGTAGACACTAGTAGCATTGAATCATAATTTAATCTGTTGAATTTGCCAATGTGATAAGTGTTCAAGTGAACTCCAAATGTCAAATTTTTATGTTACTTGTGCTTGTCTTATGATCATCATGTTTCCTGCTGATAGCCTGCAAAGTTATAGGTTTTCAACAAAATGGTTAATGCTGGAGTTGAACCAAATGTCCACACATTTGGTGCACTTATTGATGGTTGTGCTAAAGCTGGGCAAGTCTCCAAGGCTTTTAGTGCTTATGAAACCATGTTATCTATGGTATGACTATTAGTGTCAATATAATATGAATTTTTTAAAAACAAGTATACAATACTCCATATCTTTTTCCATGTAGTAGGACCTCTATAAATGTTTAATCTCCACGGTGGATTGTATGCAGTAGCATGTTAAGCCAGACCGTGTTGTGTTTAATTCCCTTATCACGGCATGTGGTCAATCTGGAGAAGCAAACCAGGCTTTTGATGTTCTAGCAAAAATGAGAGAGGGAACACATCCTATAGACCCTGATCATATTACCATTGGGGCTTTGATGAAGGCTTGTCTAAATACCGGACAGGTGTGTTTCATGCATCTTTGTACAACCAAATATCAATATCATAAATGGTGTCTATTATCTTTCTATCTACATAATACTATAGTAGTACTTTTTTCAATTTCACCTTAAGTTGGTATTATATCACAATCAGAGCAAATTAAGCTTCAACGAGCAATTAAATTCTGATAAGTCTCAAAATGAGACTACAAGATTGGTATGCTCCAACGAGCAACCATTTTGAGGGGTTGTATTAAATTCTACCCCACACGAGTTTCATTCAAAACACAAACCAGCATATAAAACATTGGATTCCTCCTTCTACTAGGTTGACCTTTTAATATGTGAGACCGATTGCAGTTCTTTTTAGCAAAACTTGTAATTTTTTTCTTTAGAGTATTGCAAAAATTCGCTTAAAGTATTACCATTCCGCCGTGAGACGGTCTCACGGGAGACCAACTCTCATTAATTTTTTTTTTCTGTTTAGGATGATCGAGTAAGAGATGTTTACAATTTGATTCATGAATATAACATCAAGGGTGGTGCAGAATTGTACACAATTGCTGTCAATAGTTTCAGTGAAAAAGGTGATTGGGAGCTCGCGTGCAGCATCTTCAATGATATGGACAAGAAAGGCATCGCCCCTGATGAGGTAATCCTTCAGATGTGCAATTACAACTTGCAGTTGGACTGTACAGTGATAGTTGACAATGTTGTTTGAGGTGTGTTAGGCATGATGCTATGTTTACTGATAGGAAGAATATCGTTGTGTGAGACTTGGACCCGGCTTCTATTTATCTAGGTCGCAGTAGGAAAAGGCATTGGGTGTACTCTCTTACCACAAAAGATGAACTGATATATCATCATGCATTACTAGTGTTACAATGTTGCAAACAACTATTTAGTGATTTGTGCAAACGGTATACATAAAATAGGAATTAACGAGATTGAAGGCAAAAATTGGTGCCACTATGGGCTGCCTTTAAAGTTTGAGGTAGTGTTCTTAAAAGTGGTAGGTGTCCTTTAGACGGTAGACTGAGGTCTAATGCCGAGACCTGCTAGATGGGGCCAAAATAAGAAAACACGGGCCTTGGTGAAGCTAGTCAGGGATTTTTGGAAATTGGCTCGAGGACAAGCTTGATGTCCCGAGGGGAGTGTGCAATATGTGAATTTAGAGCACTTTTACGAGAATCACTGGAATGAATCAATCAATTATAAATATCATTAATTGATTGCCTCTTGATTGTTTCATATTTGAATTTTGATTTAGCTTTATTTAGAAGAGTTGTTAAGTTTGATAGAGTTACCTTATTGGTCATCCTTTCCATTTATAGTTTACTGTTTGCAATTTGCAACTCCTATATGGAGGCCCCTTTTACAAATCGGGCATCAGGGCATGAAAAATGAATCTAAGGCAAAGGAAGACTCCTTTAAATCACCAAACCTATTGTTGTGATTTCGTTCACATTCAATCTGGTCATTGCAGCCTTGTCCATCATACCATTAGTAGGAAATATCACTTCAAACCCTAAACAACAGATCTAGACATTTCATATCTGTTCATCTTCTCCGCACATGTCAAATGCTAATGAATTCGGGCCGAATTCCTCTTGTTCGAATACCATATCAGTTCATCCCTGTCTACCGAGAAAAATGATGGAAGGGAGATAACCTTAGGTTATATATATTAATACAACAACAACATCCAAGCTTATCCCAAAAGATTTTGGGGTCAGCTAACATGAATCGATTCATGATATCAGAGCCAAAAAGAGTAGAAACATACAAACAACAACATTACCCCAGCGCCACAAAGACTCCCACCAATGGTGGGGTAAAGGGGGGTCCTCCAATCCCACTTGTGGTGCATAGGCACTTACCACAAACATGATCTCATCTCAAATTATCAATTTAGTGCTTATGATGCGGCCGTTCTTCCTAAAAACTTCCACCACACCCTTAACGTAATCACACGCCTAGTCCATTTTTGGTCATCTCTCTCTCCCCGAATACCATAACTTAAAACCTCCGCGATTAATCTCACGTGCCTTTTCTCCAACTCACTTAGTTTCGTGCAGGCACATAATGACGATATATCTCCTCCTCATAACTTCGACTACCTTAGATACTTTTCCAGCAAGAGATCCAACATCCACGTTCCAAAACGCAATCTAATACCCTGCCTTTTCTTCTTCACACCACATCGACCCCCACCATGCCCTTGCATATTTCACACCATCCCCGAACATTGAGGTAACGCGTCGCTTTCGAGCAATGACCTAACAGCCTTAGCATTCTTATCACAACACACATGTCTATGAGGTGTAGCACACTCTTGTATATTTGACACCACCAGTGGCGGACACACATGGGGGCTATGGGGGGTTGCCGCCCCTCCGCCGAAAAAAAATTCTAGGTATATTTACCCCGAAATTTTTAATGTATATGTATTTGTATGTATATTCTTGTACTGCCGCCCCTGCTATCGGCAAATCCTGCGTCCGCCGCTGGACACCACCCTAGGCGGAGGGATGACACGTCATTTACGGGCGACAACCTAGCTGTAGCCTTTTTTCATATTTCAATTCATGTCATGTGATGTAACTAAGTGATACTATTGGCCGTCACACGCCTACCACATCACCCTCCTTTATCCTTGCTTGGTACATGTATGATACCAAAATGATCTCATGGCATCGGAGTTAGATTATACTACCTCCATTCTTAAATAAATGCAACATGTTGAATTTTGCACTATTCACATGTTCTAATTTGACTATGTTTTATTTATTAATGCATTAATATACGAGTAAAAAAATATTGTTAAATTTGTCTCATTGTAAATTTTCTTTTTAATTTTTTTTAGTAATAAAGTATTATACGGAGTATATATTAATGGTCAAAGTTGTGCATTGACAAATGTGAAAAAGTTGACCGTTGCATTTATATAAGAACGGAGGAAGTATATATTAATACTGTATAGTAATGTATGGTATAAGAAAAAGTACTTCATATTTGAATTTGTAAAGGAGGGCAATTATATTCTTGGATACGTATCAATCAGCTCCCTTAAGTACTAAAATCCAGCTAATTGGCTTGTCTTTCCTTTTTTTGTTTTAAATATTACTTAAGGTCCTCCATTGAACATGATATGATCTACTTTGTCAAGACTTCAAAAATTTATTTAAGGTTTTATCATCATCTTGAGTTCTATTGGTTCTGTAGTTTCATGAGTCGATGATTAGCATAGATATAATGTCATTACTAGACTTTTATAGATGTATATCCTAGTATTATCATACACACACATATAGGGAGCGGTTCCGGTAAGAACGGATTCCTAGGAGAGAAATGAGAATGAATCTGGACCGTTGAATTGTATTATGTGGAACTAAATTGTGCATTTGGTGAAACTGAAATGTGCATTAGATGATATTGAAATGTGTAGAATAAAAATTTAAACTCAAGTGTGCATTAGGTGAAACTGAAATGTGTGGAATAAAGGTACAAAAATAACATCACACCGTACCTTTTATCATGCACATTTCAGTTTCACCTAGTGCACATTTCAATTTCATCTAATGCACAATTCAGCTTCGTATAATGTCACTGTATCGTACCCTTTATGCTGCACATTTCAATTTCACCTACAGCACATTACAGTTTCATCTAATGCGCATTGAATTCACTTAAAGCAAATCTAACGGTCCATATTTATTCTCATTTCTCTCCTAAGATCATGTTCTTATTTGAACCAAAAGTCCAAAATACACACACACACACACATATATATAGAATTCAGGATTGTGTTAGACTGTTAGATTTACTCAACTAGCCAACTTGGCCATAAGACTCTTGGGCCAAACACGCTAAAGTTTGAATCTAATGTATTAGGTAGTTCAACTTAGGGCCTTATTAACCATCTTGGTCTCTCTATTTTTCTGAAGTGGGATTTTCCAATGTGGGACTCTACACCCCCTTTAGTGGATAGCTGAGCCATTATGGATCCAACTGGTAGTTCACTTGTATATTGAACTCCCATCTCTCATGAAACTGAAACTCAAAATGCAGCAGTAACACTTGAATGACCATGGGCTGGTGGGATTGGACTTCCAGACGGAGAACCGAGTTAGATGGGTCACACGCTGCAGGGGCTTGAATTCAAGGAGGAAAATCAAGCAAAACCATACTATAACATTAAATCCGATCTGTTAGTTAGTTAACTCAATCTTATTGACCCATCATTGCCTCTATTAATTGTATATTTGTATGTAAGACTAACATTCCATCTTAAAAGGTGTCCCTCATAGGAGGAACTCAAGGTTTTATATGTTGGTTTGTATCTTTACACGTGGCTAGCATGGGATTACTTAAAATGTATACTTTTTTCGCTAAATCAAAACACTCCATTTTCCTGTTCAACTGCTGACGAACTCCTGGTTAATGAGTTCCCTATGCTTTTGCACTATAGGCTGTCACTTTATATATTATAAAACCAATAAGTAGATGTTCAATATAACTTAAAAAAATATGTCTGACTCAAGCTTCTTGTACACAGCTGTTCATCAGTGCAATGGTAGATGCTGCTGGGCATGCCGGTAAACTTGATGCTGCATTTGAACTATTAAAAGAAGCCAGAAATAACGGAGTTTACACTGGAACCATTTCATATAGTTCATTGATGGGAGCATGCTGTAATGTATATATGTAGAGCATCCTTCTGTCTTCTTTGAGATTAAAAGCTTTGTATTTTTATTCCATGGCTCTATTTCATTTTCAAGTTTTGAATTGCATTGTAATATCTAGGAGTATAACTAGCAAAATTATCTTGTTAAAATAGAAGAAAGCCAGAACAGAAAAAAGTAAAAACGCTTTTTCTTCACGAAACCATTTTCAAAATAATTGCAGCTGACAGTAAGTCAGAACTCTCTCTCTTTCGTGTTTGCAATAAATGGTACAAATATCAATGTCGATTGCAGACAAAAAACTGGCAGAAGGCCTTGCAGTTGTACGATGAAATCAAAGACATGAAGTTGAAGCGAACTGTTCCAATGATGAATGCCCTGATAACTGCATTATGTATGTCTGCGGCTCTCTTTTTATCAATTTTTATGGACATATGGGAAATGCTAGAACTCGTTCATGTAATTTTGAAGCTAGAGCAGTGTGTTATATTGAAACATTAGTATGTTAGGCTGATCAGAAGGAAATTTCATTTAGGTGATGCAGAAAAATTACAGGAAGCTGTGGATGTTTTATTTGAAATGAAGAGAGAAGGCCTACTCCCGAACAGCATAACATACTCCGTACTGTTGGTGGCCAGTGAAATGTAATTCCTGGATCCTTTGAATATACAATAATACAATTATACAATATTATACAATATACTGTACTATATTGAAGGAAAAGAATAATTCACATTTAAGACATAATATTGTAGTTAGCCGTTACATATTTCTACCATTTAATATTATATTATTACTTACCTTATAGACTTGGTCAGTATTTGTATAAATAGAACTCATTGTAAATGGGATATATACATCAAAATATATTCAGACATTCAGCTTCTCTTCTCTCTATTATGGTATCAGAGCCACTGAGCTCTAACCAGCCCTCCTTCCCTCCCCCATGACAACCGATGGTCAGCCTGAGGTTCTCCTTCAACCTGGAGGCCTCGATAATATTCCCACCAGTACACCTATCACCTCTAATACCCCTCCCACCACAGTTTCTGCTCCTCTCACCCCAGATGGACTAATCCTCCTCAATCCCAGTCACTTCCCAGAAAAGCTAGATGGTTCAAATTACCTTGTATGGCGAGATCAGATTCTGGATCTTCTCTTTAGGTCTCACCTTGATCAGTATATATCTGATGATGCTGCACCGCCACCGAAGACTGACGCAGATGGCTACCTCCGATGGACTAGGCAAGACCGACTCATCCGACACGCCCTCATAGCGTCTCTGACTTCGGCCTGTAAACCTCTAGTTGGATTGGCTCGCACCTCTGCAGCAGTTTGGAAAACTCTGGAAGAACTCTATGGGACTCGTTCACCATCTCAAATCAGAAATATGAAAGACACCTTTCGCCACACCAAACAAGGCTCTCAACCGGTGGGGGTGTATCTCCATCACCTGCAAACGCTTGCCAATGAACTGGCTCAGGCTGGCCGCCCTGTAGACGATGAGGATTTCGTCGTTCAAGCACTGGAAGGACTCCGACCAGAGTTCGAGTCCTTTGCTAACTCGATTCGTACCTGCGGCGATAATCGGTTCAAGACCCTTTATAATCTGCTCACAGGCTTCGAAGCCTCCATGAAGCGCAAGGAAGATTTGAGCTCCTCCGTTTCTGTAGTCACCGCTAATAATGTTAGCGTAGCCAATGGCGAACACGTCGCACTTGCAGCACGCAGAGGGAGTCCAGCCCCATCAATTTTGGGCCCAGGACCACCGGCCCAGACCCAACAGCAGCCCAGTCACACTAATTATTCAGGCCGTACTTATAATCAGAATCAGGCCCGCAATCAACGGCCCAATGCTCATTACGGTCCCAACCGACGTGTAAATAATAACTTTGCAGGTTCTACTAGCAACCAGGGAGCCCGCAACAGCTCGGGAAATAGTAATTTTGGGGGTAATGTTACGTGTCAAATTTGTGGGAAACCGAATCATTCTGCTCTCAACTGTTGGCATCGGTTTGAACAACAGGCTTACCCTCCTCAAGTCAACACGGCTGTCACTCGGCACAATGGTTGGCTACTTGATTCTGGGGCAACCAATCATGTCACCAACAACCTGAATAATCTTACCTTGGCATCCGATTATACTGGCACTGATTCTCTTGTCATTGGTAACGGTAAAGGTCTTGTGATAGCACAAGTTGGGCATATGACCCTTCACTCTCTTTCTCTACCTAATACCCTTTTTGTCCCTTCTATTCATACCAATTTAATTTCTGTTGCCAAATTATGCCGTGATAATGACGTACTAATTGAATTTCATTCTTCCTTTTGTCTTGTTAAGGACCGGCGAACGGGAGCAACTTTGTTACGGGGTATGAATGAAGGAGACGTTTACAGCTTGCCAGATGCCCCCCCTCCATCTCCATCTGCTCACATCACACAAAAATACTCTCTAAATAATTGGCATTGTCGTTTAGGACATCCTGCCCTCCCTATCACTAAAAAAATTATGTCTTCCTTAGGTATTTCCTTTTCTGATGTTACTACAAATAATTCTCTATGTGTCTCATGTGCTAGTAATAAAAGCCATAAGCTGCCATTTGCAAAATCATCTCTTTCGAGCTGTGGGCCTCTAGATTTAATCTATACAGATGTTTGGGGTCCCGCTCGTGTTCATTCTATTGATGGCTTTCGTTATTATGTTATCTTTGTTGATCATTATACCAAATATATTTGGTTTTATCCTATGTCTCATAAAAGTGAGGTCACTCCCCTCTTTCAACAATTTAAAAAGATTGTTGAGAACTTTTTTCAACGCACAATTAAAACAGTTTATTCTGATGGAGGGGGCGAATACGTAACCTTAGGGAAATTCCTAAGCACATGTGGAATTTCTCATTTATTTACGCCTCCTTACACTCCAGAGCACAATGGCTTTGCTGAACGTTGACATCGCCACATTGTGGAAACTGGTATCACCCTACTTCACCATGCATCCATGCCTCTCAAATATTGGTCCTATGCCTTTCTGACAGCAGTTTATCTCATTAATAGACAGCCTGCTCTCTCCCTTGACTTTTGCACTCCATATGAAAAACTTTTCCAACAACCTCCCAATTATGCTAGACTTGATGTTTTTGGGTGCCAATGTTTTCCTTGGTTACGTCCTTATACCACTCATAAACTGGAACCACGCTCTAAACCTTGTGTCTTTTTGGGGTATTGTGACCAACAAAGTGCATACCGATGTCTTGATCTTACCACCAACCGTATCTTTGTCAGTAGACATGTTGTGTTTGACGAGTCAGTCTTCCCCTTCTCTACATCCTCACCACCCATCTCAAATATCACTTCTGAAGTTGACCACTGGCTTCAACCTTCTGTGTCTTATCTTCCCATCTCAGGTACTCTGGCTGCGGGGGCGTCTCCTCCTACTCATACCTCAACTCAACAATTGGCTCTTCACACGTCACCCACTACCTCCACCCAAACTGATATACAGCCCTCCCAACTCCCTGAACCCACACCACCACAAATTATTACTTACCAGCGTCGTCCCAAACCCAATCCTCCTATCCCCACCCCTCCTCTACCACCCACCACCACTGTTCTCACTACCTCAAACCCACCCGATACTCCACTACCCAAACGTACCCATCCAATGACCCTTCGACCTCGCAAACAGGCCAATATTGCCACTAATGCTTCTTTACCTCACCATATAATTCCCACTTGTGCTTCTCAAGCTATGCAGGTACCAGAATGGCGGAGTGCTATGACAGTAGAATTTGATGCCTTGGTTCGACAGGGCACTTGGGATCTTGTTCCGGCTCAGCTTGGTCAGAATATTGTGGGTTGTAAATGGGTATATACCGTGAAGTATAAACCAGATGGCTCCTTGGATCGCTATAAGGCTCGGTTGGTGGCTAAGGGTTTTCATCAGCGCCCTGGGATTGATTATTCTGAAACCTTTAGCCCGGTCATCAAACCGGTGACTATTCGCATTGTCTTGACTATTGCTCTTTCTCATAATTGGCCGGTGCATCAGTTAGATGTCAATAACGCATTCCTACATGGGAATCTTCAGGAGGAAGTTTACATGAAGCAACCTCCTGGCTTTAATGATGGTTCTGGGTTTGTTTGTCGTCTTCGGAAATCTATTTATGGCCTTAAGCAGGCGCCTCGGGTGTGGTATCAATCTCTCAGTGGCTTTCTTCTTTCACTTGGATTTTATCAATCTGTTGCTGATGCCAGTTTGTTCATCTTTTCCTCCCATCCATCTTACATCTATGTATTGATTTATGTGGATGATATTATTATTACTGGCTCTACACCAGCCTTGGTACGTCAGACTATTGACTCCTTGGCCCACCAGTTCTCTATCAAGGATTTAGGAGCTTTGCACTATTTTTTGGGCATGCAGGTTACTCCTACACAGGGTGGACTCTTTCTTGATCAACATAAATACATTATGGACTTATTAAAAGTTGTCAAAATGGATGAGGCTAATCCTGTAGCTACGCCGTTAGCCCCCTCTGCTTCATTGACTCTTTTTGACAGTTCAGGCTCTTGTGATGCCACTCTCTATCGCCAGGTCCTCGGGTCACTTCAGTATTTGAATCTTACTCGACCAGATGTTGCCTTTGCTATTAACAAATTGGCTCAATTTATGCATAAACCTACGGTTAATCACTGGCAGCTTCTCAAACGCCTCTTGCGCTATCTACACGGCACTGCCTCTCATGGGCTCTTACTTTGTCGGAGCACCTCCCCCTCTCTCCGGGCCTTTGCTGATGCTGACTGGGCAGGAAATCCGGATGACCGCTCCTCTACCGGTGCATATGCCATCTTTCTCGGGGAGTCCCTTGTATCTTGGAAATCTGTCAAACAGCGCACTATTGCTAAATCTTCCACGGAAGCAGAATATAGAGCTCTTTCTACTGCTGCCTCTGAAACTATTTGGATTGAATCTCTTTTGCGGGAGTTGCGGCATCCATTACTTTCTCCTCCAGTCCTCCTTTGTGACAACAAAGGGGCTACTACATCTTCCGCCAATCCTGTTTTCCACTCTCGCATGAAACATGTGGCTATTGACTTTCATTTTGTTCGGCAGCGGGTTCAACGTGGCCTTCTTGAAGTTCATCATATTTCATCTTCGGATCAGATAGCTGATGCCCTCACTAAACCGCTTCCCCGGCAACGCTTTATCCTTCTCAGAGACAAGCTTCGGATTCTTGGCAGTGACAGAATACCTAGCTTGCGGGGGCGTATTGAAGGAAAAGAATAATTCACATTTAAGACATAATATTGTAGTTAGCCGTTACATATCTCTACCATTTAATATTATATTATTACTTACCTTATAGACTTGGTCAGTATTTGTATAAATAGAACTCATTGTAAACGGGATATATACATCAAAATATATTCAGACATTCAGCTTCTCTTCTCTCTATTATACTATATAAAGTACACACACAAAAAACAAACACATGCGTGCAGGTATGTATATACGTATGTAAGCATGATTTTTTATGTGTGTATCAGTCCACGTATGCAAGCATGTGCTCTTTTAGGTTTTCAAACAGCTACCAATCATTGTGTTTTTTAATCATGAAAGGTCGGATGACCTGGATACTGGCCTCATGCTTTTGTCTGAGGCAAAAAAAGACGGTGTTGCACCTAACCTAGTAATGTACAGTTGCCTGATGGGTAAGATCTGTTGACTTTTAAGTGAACTTATTTTGTTGTTGGATATGATGATTTTATTCTTGCTCTGACATATCTGACTATCTAAGGGAGTGTTTGCAACTGCTTCTGCTTAAAAAAAAGCACTTTTGGAAAAGTAAGGAAAAAGTGATTGGTAGTAAAAGTTGATAGTGTTTGAGAAAAAAGTGATTTTGAAAAGTAAAAGTTGGTAGTGTTTGGTAAAATAAGTGCTTTTTGTATAATAGAAAAGGGAAAAGCACTTTTCACACGCAAGCCGAGAAAAAGTAAAAATTGGTAGTGTTTGGTAAATAAGTGCTTTTTAAAGCCAAAAGCTGAGAAGTGCTTTTTTTTAAGCAATTGCAAACACTCCCTAAGTCTGATACTCTGATTCCTTACATTTATTTTGAATTCAGATCCATTACTCTTTCAATCCTTACATGTGTTTTGAATTCAGATCCATTACTTTTTCTTAAACAAATCCCTTGATAAGGAACATGACTAGCTAGCTATAGATAACATTTCGTGGATTCCCATGCAAGTTCAACTCTTACATGCCTTGATATATCCGTGCCCTAACGTAACAACATTATACAATAGCTAAAAGAGAAATATAATATTTAATTGACTATCTCAATGATTGAATTATACCTATATTTATAAATAAGGTCACTTAATGATAACATTTTGTGGATTCCCAAAACCTGCAATTGCTGAAAACCATGCAAGTTTAACTCTTACATGCCTTGATATATCCGAGCCCTAACGTATCAACATTATACAATAGCTAAAAGAGAAATATAATATATAATTGACTATCTCAATGATTAAATTATACCTATATTTATAAATAAGGTGACTTAATGATAACATTTGTGGATTCCCAAAACCTGCAATTGCTGAAAACCATGCAAGTTTAACTCTTACATGCCTTGATATATCCGTGCCCTAACGTAACAACATTATACAATAACTAAAAGAGAAATATAATATTTAATTGACTATCTCAATGAATAAATTATACCTATATTTATAAATAAGGTCACTTAATTACAAGTACACATGTGGTGAGAAATCTTTTTTAATGGTTCCTCTTAGGCATATATATTATCATATTAATTATGCTCATGTGGTTCCAAACTCCAAAACTCGTATTAGGGTCATGAAGATATTTAGTAAAAAACTTAGGAATTCAATAAATAAGAGTTCAAGGAAGCTTACAACCAAAGCTAGGTTTGCAAGAAGAAGTCTTGTCCAAACACTATGAAACTTGGAACAAAGGAGGATATTTATACACAGGGAAAATCGGGGAACGCTGGGAAGGAATGCCTTCCCTTTTAGAGAAACGCTAGGACGAACAATGTTCCTCCTCGGTGTTCCTGCCTTGACACAAAAATTCGCTACCCGACAGAGAGTTCGGTGGCGGGAGGGAAGTGGAGAGGATGCCGTTCTTGAAGGAATGCTAGTAGGTACGCCGTTCCTTGTCAGCATTCCTACACCTGGGACTATGAAATAGAAATTCAATCTTACGAAAAGGAGGGACGCTGGGAGGGACGTCGTTCCCTATGGCGTTCCTGTGGCTCCTTCCACCGAAAAACCTCCAACGTCTTCAATTCTTGCTTATTTGTGCTCCGCTTCGTCCTAGGATCTACACATAATTCATTTATGCTTTTGAGATTCTTCAAAATGCTCTGTTTTCACCGCTACAATGCTCAAATCCTCCACGTGGTTCATGTAACCAAAATATTGTACAAGTAAAACCAAAATGGGAGAAAAATTATCAAAAGTAGACAAACAAAGACCAAATTTTATGAGAAAGTATTAGGTGTTTTCACACCTATCTGGCATATATTTGTGTGAGAACTAATCTCTTTTCATCTTTTTTTATCTTTTTCTTTCTTTTGTTGGTTATGCTTTTATCCTTTTTATTTTATATATGTTCTTTTTATTCTTTTTATCTTATCATTTTTATCTTTACCTTATATTTATCTTTATCTATCTCTTTTTAAATCTTTTTATTACACCTTGTGTTTTTATCTTCACTGTCATTCTTTTCCTTTTGGCTCTGATGTCATGTATCAATTCATGTTAGCTGACCTCAAAATCTTTTGGGACTAAGGCTTGAGTGTTTTTGTTGTTGTTGTTGTTGCATTACTTTAATTAAAAGAAGTGTTATGTCTGCCAATGAGGTATTGCTCAACTGCTTAGTGCTGAGGCCCTAAGGTCTAGAGATCTCCGTTTTGATCCCTTTTCATCAGGATTTTATCTCAACACTTGATGTGTATATATTGTTATTCCTCTATATAGGGTATTGTATGTATATTATTTGATTCTTTTGCTGCATTAAATTTATCCGCGTATGTTGTTTTAATTTAGCCGACCCCAACATCTTTTGGGAATAAGGCTTAGATGTTGTATATTGTTTGAATTTGAAGGCATAGTAGTGACTTATGCTTATGTAATTGAGTTCGTGTAACAAAAACAATATTATGTTTCATTAAAAATATCACTTTGTTACACTTCTTAAAGCATGTTTTTTTATTTGAAAGTGACACTTAATGTAAAATAGAGTAGCCATTGAAAAAGTATAACATTTAAAGTATCACATTTTCAATGAACAATAATATTTTTATTGAAAAAAGTTGTTATTTGATCTACTAACATGAATTTTATTATTATTAAATGGAGTCTTCTCATAGAAGATGAACAATTTTTGTCAATTAAGAAAGCTTAAATTTCATTTAATGACATTTGCCTTCAGCATAATTTATGAGAAATGTTATCTTTGGTAAAAATGAGTCATTGATTTTGCAGTTTTTCACGCGAGTTATTTGAGTGAGATTGTGGAAGCATTTTTCACCTACAAAACTGTCCCTAATTACCTTGAAATGTTGGTTATTGTCGTTACTTGGCTATCTCACAGTGGGGACAAATGGAAGATGTAAGAAATCAGGTTTGGGGTTGCATGTCAGACAAGATCTATATCCGTCTTATGAAACGAGATCTATGAGGCGGTCTCACAAGACCACCACCATATCCATCATTATGGTACATTGGGACAATGTTGCACCAAATGCTTTTCATGTACTGTGGAATCCGTGGATTTCTTTTTCACGTGGAATATAGGGTATTCTCATGGAATGATTAAGAATATGGTAAATGCCGTCCTTTACTAGTAAGACTTAGATATTTGAGCTTCTCTGTTAGTTTCCTGTGACCGTGTAGGTGGTGGCATAATGGGCCATCTACTTCTGAGAGTTCCACATTAGGATCATTCGCGGAGTCTATCAGACGAGGTCCTTGCAACTTATAGTAAATATATTTTTGGTGGTGTAGAAAAAGGCCTTCCTTAGATTCATCAGCTTCATTCTCAAGAGTGTATTTAGGGCCTCCAAATTCTCTTGTTTGTAATTGTTGCCAAAGATGCCTGTTTAGCGATTCTATCCCTGCAAAATCAGTTGGAGATATCACAATATCGTAGACATGCATTTGACTAACCAAGTTGCTCTTGATGAAGGTATGTGCTTAAGAAGGTTTCAGAAGGCTTGTACACTTGGTGAGCCGGTATTGTCTTACAACTCCGTGCAGATACAACTTAACAACAAATGGTATGCATTTCACTTCAACTCTCAGTGAGATTATTCCACCTCCGGGTCTTACAGTTAGATTTTCACTTTCTACCATCATTAACTTTGGTCTCTTCCACTTTTAGTCTTTAAGTTTAAACAAATGTACCACTTTAGCCCATAATGTTTAAATAAATTGATCTCATTTTGTGAATATTTAATAAAACTTGGTTCGACTACGTTTGATGGCATACTGTGATTTTCATTGAAATTTGAATGTTTTGGAAATTTGAGGAATAAATTGATAGAAACCTCCAGAAATCACAACAATTTCACAGCAGAAATGTAAAATAGTATCAAGAAATCAAAGCAGTTTTATTAGAGATGAATAAGAACTGGCCGAAGCCCCCAAATGAGCCGAAGCCCCCCCAAAAGAGAGAGAATGATCTCAATCTTCCCAGAATAGACTAATCAGTCAAAACAGCCTGCCCAACTATTCCCAGCTATATTCTATTTATACTAAACTTATACCCTTCTTCTTATTGATACTCTAATAGGCCCGGTCCATTATTCTTATTAATACCCTAATAGGCCCGGTCCCTAACACTACTCCCCCCTAAACATCCACCTTGCCCTCAAGGTGGGTGATAGGACACAGCCACAATCTTCTTCTTTTCTTTCATCCTAGCACCTCTCCCCTTCCAATACTGGATTGATTTCTGGACCCATAGCTTGGCTGCTTTCATCTTCCTTCCTATGTACTTTACAGCATAATTACACCATTGCCTTGACAATCTATCCAGAATTGACTTGAAATCTTCAGGGTACTCCTTTATAAACTCATTCCTTCTGCCTTCAATTTTCTGTTCTTGTTTCTGCTCATTACTCTGTCCCTCCCCGTGCCACAGATATCCATCACCTTGAATAATATGATTCAGCCCTTGTTTCTTCCATTTTATAATCTGGTTTTGGAAATTAACTTCCATATCACCTAGATCAGTTAACCAGTCCATGCCCAGGACTACATCAGTATCTCCCAAATCAATTAAGTAATAGGTCTGCTGAATCTCCACCCCTTGCACCTTCAGGCCCACTCCTGCACACTTGCCACAGTTGGTTATGCATTCTCCATTTCCAGTTTGTACTTTGTATCCCTGAATGGAAGTATAAGGAATCTTCCATCTTTCTACCAAATCCTGTGAGATAAAATTGTGGGATGCACCACTATCAAAAAGTACATTCACTGTTTGTTCTCCGCCAGGCCATCTCAATATTCCTTTTACCTTGAATGTTTTCATCGAGGGTATCACCTCTTTGCTTAACACTGATAGCTGCAAAGTCTTCGATCCCAGAGGTATAGTTTTATCATCTATATGCTCGAATGATTCCACTTCTGATTCAGCTTCATTCTCAGATTTCTCCACTAGGATTATTTTATAGTTCCTCATCTGGCAAACGTGTCCTCTACTCCAATTTTCACCACATTTAAAACATAAACCTCTTCTGCTTCTGTCTAACAGCTCATTCTTGGACAATCTGGGATCTTCCCTTTCACATTTGGATTTTTTTTCTTCACAAGGGGCTTTATTCTCTCCGGTTAGTTTGTTCATAGTTGCAGAAATAGTGGGGTCACCTTTCCACTTGTTGCTATCTCCCCAGTTTTGGTTGCTCTTACTCAATCCTTTTCTCCTCCCTTCTTCCCTGTTCTTGATAAACATGGATTCACTATTTTTGTTCTCAATTAAGAGTGCAACATCCATTACCTTTGCTAAAGACCTGGCAGAGTGTAGCTTTAGTTCAGCCCTGATGTCCCTCTTTAATCCTTTGAGAAAAATCCCTCTCAGCACTTCTTCAGTCAAGTGACCTTGAGAAGCTATGGCGGTTTCGAATTGATCTCTGTACTCCTGGACAGATCCCTTCTGCTTTAAACTGAAAAGAGGTCCCAAAGGATCCTGTACCATATCAGGCTGGAATCGATTGGACAGAGCACTAGTGAAGGAATCCCAATTCTGATGCTGAGCTTGCCCCTCCCACCATTGGAACCAGCTCAGAGCCTGGTCTTCCAAGGCGACAACAGCTACATCAATCTTATCATCTTCCTCCGTTCGGTTCAGTCTGAAATATCTGTTCATTCTCACTAACCAGCCAAAAACGTCTTTTCCATTGAAGATGGGTAAATCGATCTTTCTTCCCACAGGATGTTGACGTCTGCGATTGCGATGCTGATCGCCATGACTGGGTGATGCAGAGTGATCTGAATGGTTATCCGAATCCTCTGATGTGTCATCGTTCTTCCTTCGCCGATGATGAGAAGTGTGGTGCGAAGACGTCGATTGGTGTGATCGACTCCGCGATCGATCGATCTTCGCGAAGCCTGCTTGCATCATCGCTAACAGTTCTGCGTACTTCGCGTTCGATTCATCGATCCTTGCCTCTATCTTCGCCGCTAATTCCTTTTGGCTTCGATCAAGATTCCGCTCCAATTCAGTTATTCGCCCTTCCATTCTTCTTCTCGTACCAACCATTCACAGAACCGAATTCTCTGATACCAATTGATAGAAACCTCCAGAAATCACAACAATTTCACAGCAGAAATGTAAAATAGTATCAAGAAATCAAAGCAGTTTTATTAGAGATGAATAAGAACTGGCCGAAGCCCCCAAATGAGCCGAAGCCCCCCAAAAGAGAGAGAATGATCTCAATCTTCCCAGAATAGACTAATCAGTCAAAACAGCCTGCCCAACTATTCCCAGCTATATTCTATTTATACTAAACTTATACCCTTCTTCTTATTGATACTCTAATAGGCCCGGTCCATTATTCTTATTAATACCCTAATAGGCCCGGTCCCTAACATAAATATGGAAAGATCAATGTTGAGGACAAAGGCCTGGATGTTGTTGTTGTATCAATGTTGAGGACAAAAATTATGAATAGTAAAAATGACACGGTACTACGGTAGTGTAGGTACGGAAACTATTATACTCAGAATTTCAATTATCTTTTCATATCTATTAGTGGAAATCTAGAAAGAAATGCATATTCAATAACTGTTTGCTACCTTTGATAATTGGTCCTCGGTATCGATAGTCTGCATTTTTATTCAAGTTAATTCCAGCTTTGGTGCACCCAACTATTGTGTTTGTTACGTTTGATTATCGAATTTAAAACTGATAAGATTCATTCACCTACTATAGAAAATGAACTACTTTTAGTCCTTTGAAGGACTGGAATTGTCATTTTTAGGACTAAGAGAGGCATTTTTTATATTTTCATTTAATAGGCAAGTGACAAAGTTTGGCTGATTTAAACTGGATGATCAAATGTATAAAACAATATTTGAAGGATTAAAACAGGAATTAATTTTTTGTTCCTTCTCCAGCACAGTTGCAAAAAAAACAATATTAATTGTAACACTAGCACTAGTAACAATAATCATAATGGTGATAATAATAATAATAGTATTAACTATTAACACTCTAATATATAAATGTACAATAACAACAATAATCACCACCAGAAGCTGCTAGTGCTTTGAAGTTATACTACAAGCATGCCTAAAAGCATCATCAATGAAACACTTAACTACAATTTTGAACCCTGGCCCGTTCAATATAGTTATGGTAGAAGGGTATATAGCGATATGGGACTTCAGTAGGATCCTAGCTGCTATGTGCGACTCCCATGTTTCCCAAGCATGTTTTTACACTAATGCGTTGAACGAACTGAATTCTTACCTTCCCCTTGGTTGGATCTGAACCTGCGAAATGAGGCTTTTAGCGAAGCAGAGGTCCAACTCTTAAGTTAAATTGATTGACCACCAAAGTTGTGCGTAATCACCATCAAGTTTATGTTTTGGAATTGGACTTGAAGCATGCCAAAAAGTCCCACCCCCCACGCTCTCTCCTTTTCACTTAGCATATCTGAACCTATATTCCATTTACTGTGTACGTTACCCATAAATCAAAGAGGAAAAGGAGGAATGTTTTGTTCTTTCTCTAGTTTGCTCTTTGGAGCCTATGCGCTAGAATCCTTGAATCATCATCATCATTACCCCAGTGCGCAAAGGCTCCCACCTACGGTGGGATAAGGGGGGTCGGATGTACGCAGCCTTACCCCTTTACTAAAGCATAGGGAGACTGTTTCCGGATGACCCATGGTGAAAATCGCGTCGAAAATTGCATGGACTGACTGCTGCTTCATAACAAAGAAGTGCAGACAGTTTAGAGAGTCATTTTGCTTTATTCCATCATATTCCAAGCCAAAAATATGTAAACTTTGGCTTCATTGCAAATGATGGAAAACTAGAATCCTTGAATGTGGAATTATAATATGTATATGAAGTTTTCTGATGGGATTTGCTACCTTCAATTCCTACTCCCTTGTCCATTGTATTGCGGAAAACTGTTCTGCCCGTGCTATCCAGCCTACCGGATCTGTGCTCGTGAAGCTTTGTATCTCAATTTGTTTGACATTGATTAGATGTACATCTGAAGTTGTAAAGGTGTTGAAGATGACAGATTTATCTGTCGGCGACTCATTGTCTGCATTAGCCTTTGTGGTAGTGCCATACTCAGTGCGCCCTATGCTTTTCAACTCCTGTGTAACCATCTCATTCGGTTTGGCAAAGGACTCCGCTGCACTGACAAATTGTTGGGTGACTTCGACCCGAAGCAAGTAGACATTTGTGAAAACCCTAGTAGTATTGGGCTTAGCCCATTTGTATATCTTGTATAGGAAACCCTAGTACTCTAAATATAGCTATAAATATAGCCTCTTGTATAGCACTTTATCATCAAGTATATGAAATACAACAATACTTGTTCACATGGTATCAGAGCCTATAAGGCAAATATAGTTAGCTAGTTAGCGTTATAAACTGCCGCTCCGAATCCGGACAGAAGTTCAGGCCATAATTTCCGGCGTGAATAGTGGTCGCAACTCACTTGAGTGCTTTTGGTAGTGATACAAGCCTACCATCGTGCTCAACTCTACATAGCGACTTACCGCCGGAAGTTTCGCCGCCGCTGCCCCACCCACGC